CACCTCAAAGCAGTCAGGCAGGAGCAGTTCCCTCCGATTCCTGGGAGGCGCCACCTTTTTGTTCTGTTCAGCCTTCAACTGATTGGGTGAGATAAGCCATCAACGGCCCCCAGTGGGGTGGCATATGCTAGAAGAATGCCTCTGCCTCCTACCTACCTCTCTACCACCCTCTTCTCCACTTCTCTCCAGGAGAAATAGGAATTTCTTTTTTCCTTAAAAAAAATAATAAGGGGCAGGGCTATATACTCAGAGAGTTCACAGGTCACATATTCAGGGAGTCTCCCCATTTTCTCTCCGGCCCCTCCATTCACACAGCTACTTGGGCCAGGACCTGTGTCCGAGCATTCTGGCCACGTTCTCTGAATGTTTTCTCATTCATCTGGATCCCTTGTAGGGGGAATTGGACATGCCTGGGTGCCCCCATATTCACATTCAAAGATGTTCATTACAGTAGCATTCTAATCCTAAGAAACACTAGGAACATCAAAACGTCTGTCAGTTGGGGAGAAGTCAGACTATGAGGTGTTAGCGCCATGAGAAGAAATGAGGTCAGTATGTTTGGACTGACAAACGATTCCCTGGGTATCTTTCTAAGTGGGAGGGAGGGGGGAAAGTTGCGTAACTATATGGCTCCATTTGTATAAAAGTGTTTGCCTGTTCCTTGGAGGAAAGGGTTGATGTGGAAAAGGAGACACTGAGTTTTTACTCCAGATTGTTATGTTCGGACTGGATGTTGTTTAGTTAACCATGAATGTGCATTACCGTTTTTTTTAAAGAAGCATTTTAATGTTTCAAAAGTAATACGTGGCTAGTTTACTAAAGAGAAATAAGTTTAACCTCTACCTGGAAAAGGATACAAAACAAAAACAAAAGTCTTCCATTCCTCAGAGGTAACTAAGTTAAACTGTTTCTGCATTTTAAAAAGGAAACAAGTCCTTTCCTTGGCAAGTAGTAAACATGCAAAACTCTAGAGGTAATGTACAATTAAAAAAAAAAAAAGTAAAGTTTTTTAAACACACAGCTGTGTTTCTGGACAAAAAAGAAAACCCACAACCAACAAGAATACTGAGTCATCCAGAGAAACCAGAGCTTTCTGGGGACACATTTCTAATGGCAGATGAGCATCGTGGGTGGCCTGAACCCTGAGACTGACCCTTCTCTTACAGATGAATCACCTAAACCCAGGAACAATATAAGGAAAGTGTAGAGATAGCAACAGAGATACACAACCCACCTCAGAATGTTGGAGCCTGAATCTGGAAAATTCTGTGTGCCTTTTTTCCTCTGAGAAGGAAAAGATATTACCACTTCCCTTTTCCTCTACCCATCCCTGTGTCTCTGAATTACTGAGGGATAGATGTTAGACCTTAGGGAACCTACTTCTGACAGTCAACCCTCTTCCTACCTGTGTGAAGCATTGATTTTGCCCCACCCCACCTTACCCTTCTCCCTTATTCAGACAGAACTAAGCTTTGCCCATTTCAGAGTATGGTTTCCTAGAGTTTAAATAAAACTAAAAATCCAATACCTGCTTAGATTTACATACCTCCCTTCTTTAAGAATAGGAAAAAATTAAGGGGAAGCCAAGGGTAAGATTAGTTCTCAAAGGGCTTTATTAATATGTGTAATCTCCTTTTCATTTTTAAGGATTTGCAGTGGCCTGAGGAGCTCACTTAAATGCCCCTCCGTGCCTAGAGTGAGGGGTCAGAAAATCAGCTGGTCCCGCTTTGGGGAAAGCTCTCTCCCAGCTCTGTGCCAGCGGCAGGGCTGAAGAGCCACAGCTGCTGCTGGGGAGCATAGTCTGGGCCGATCTCACAGGTGGCCCCTTCTGTAGCCTTCCTTCCTCAGCCAGAATGTCACCATGGCTAAAATCTGGATGAAACAAGGATCAAGAGCAAACTGAGGGAAACAAGGAGGCTAAAGGGGCAATGCGTAGCCTAGGTGACCTGGTGGGAAAGGAGGGGTGTCTGGGTTTGTGGTGTCTGAGCTGGTGTAAAACCCTCTCCTCCCCAAACACTGATGAGCTGCCTTCTCACAGACCTCGTCCCATGCCCTCCCCCCAAGTGTCCAGATGGGCTCCTAACCACACCCAAGGTGCAGTTCTGGTCAATTCTGAGGTTTGGAGGTGCCCAGACCTTCCCACACGCCCTGAACACGCCGCTCCCTTGTCTCCCCCAGGGTCTGTGCTTTAACGGCAGTGCCTTCGTCTTATACCTCTCAGCTGCCATTGTGGATGCATCTTCTGTCTCCCCAGAGAGGGACAGCCACAACTTCAACAGCTGGGCAGCCTCCTCGGTGAGTGAGCCCTCTCATCCCCCATGATCTTCTCCTTCCTCCCTGAGGCCCTCCAGGATCAGGGGGACAAAGTTATCTGCCGGAAAAAGCAGTACCTGTAGAAGGAACACTTTGGCAATTAGCTTATTGGTTTGAAAGCATCATAAATTGGTGATGGCTGACGTGGAAAGAGGCTGAAAGGCTGCTTGAGCGAAAGCCAGGTGGCTGGAACAAAGTAAGTATTGGAGGGAGAAAAATATTTGAGGCATTCTAAGAATAATTCTACTGCTTCCAATTTGAGTGGGGAGAGAGTTGCAGAAAATGAGCACGCTACAATTACTATTCTATTTTCTTTTAGTGGAAATGTTTGTTTATGCATTTGGGAATGCTTAGAAAAATACACACCGACAGAGGTTCCTTCCAAGACTGTGACTGGATGATGACTATAGAATGAGTGGCTTCTACTTTTTAATTTATGTGCTTCTATAGTGTTTACATTTTAAACCATAAGCACGTATTGTTTTTCTAATTTAAAAAACTATAATCTTAAAAGTTTCTTTGATATTGGCCTTCAAATGTTCTATTTGCAGAAGAAGTGTTTCAGGGGAGGGGAACAGT